TCTATCACATCCCAAGAATTTTCTCTCCTTGATTAGTACTCTTTGCATTTTTGATGTTTTTTCTTACTTGTCACAAACCCCCATTGATAATTGACGCTAGCGTCACCCCTTAGATTTAACATGTTTATATTCGATAATGTTTTAAGTTATCACTAATTAGAATTTAATTTTATTATTCTATTAATTCTCAAGCCCACTCCTTTGGGACTCGACCACAACCCTTGGTTGGGTTACTTTACTATTGTACGATCGTAGACACTTGCATTGGAAGTTGTGTGTTGATTACGCAAACATCACCCACGCCTAATTTATGTTTTCAACCATGATCCTATGATGAACCTATGAATTATGGATTTATGAAGATATGCATGTTTTCATGAAGTTATTGTAAATGAGTTGATGATGCTTTGAAAGAAAAGTATTGATGTTATTGTGAAAGGATTTTTCATTGACTATGATGATCATGATTGTGAAAGGTATTTTTCACAAATGAATTCACATTGGAGAAAAAATTTCTCATTTATGTTGAATTATGTTCAAAAAGTTATTCTATGTTTTGATCTTAAATTTTGTGGATTGGTATTGATCATTGCATTTCCTATTTTAAAATGATATTTGATTTTTATCCATTCCGTTGGGATTTAGACATAGCACCGAGAGGGCTTTCAGGTGGAGGCTCAATGTCATAACCCAGGGGTACCCCCTAGTTGTAACATGGCGTATAGAACCCCGAAGGACTCCATACAAGCCACTTAGCTCTCATAACATAAGAAATAAAATAATAAGAGTAAAACAATATTCCAGGTCCAAAATATTTTATAAAACGAAAAGCAGAAGTTTAAACTCATGTCTCAACATAGCCATCTAATACAATAAAATGAAATTTGGCCTAGCCCATACATCATGTCCAAAAGGGAAATACAAGAAAGAAACTGAAACAATAACTTCGTCCTCGAAGCATGAGGACTCACCAAAGCTCGGGAAATCACGAACTCAACAACTAGCCACGAGACTCAGAAACCTGTCTGTCGGACCCTACATTTGGGAAAATGTAGGCAAGAGTATGCGTTAGTACAAACCAATGTACCAAGTATGATAGTCATGCATAAAACATTGAAAACATTCTAAAAAGGGACATTTCATTTCATGACATGCCATTTACCAAGTTAAACATTATATGAAAGAGTTATAAAACATAAGTCATAAATCAGGGTCAACGCAAGTTAACTTCTTCTTTAAAAGCTTTGAACTCATACTTGATACTCCTTGAGTAACCTTAGTTTGTTATTACTTGTGGGAAATAGCCTTAACCGACATGAGACCATGTGAGCTATAACATGGAATCTTGTGTCTACCCCACACCGAAAAGAGGTTGTTCTACTTGCCTAAGTTAGAACCTTGGACTTCTAGCTTAAGTGGATCCACTAGCTAATAAACCTATGTGGGCACATAGTTATGGGATAAGGAGATTGCTACTAGAAACCCGAACTTTACTTCATGAAGACTTCCATCTCATGAGATCACTTTGGAAACCCGGACTCTACTACGTGAGGGCTTCCATCTCATATACAATATCCACTCAGTGCTAAGCATAAATTCCCATGGATTAGTCATTTATTACTTGACTTCATTACTCATGAAAGGGTGCCCTTGGCCGACCGATTCAAGCTAGTTTCATTAAGATAGCTCCTAGTCTTTGATTCAATTATGTGAGAAAGTCTTTCAACCTAAGAATTATTTCTATGTGAGAAGACCTTTTACATCAAGCTAGTATGTGTTTTAGTAAGAATATCTTTTCACAACACAACATCATCATTGGTATTTTACTCTTAAAGCACCCTTAAAACATTTGCATAGATTTCATAAAATAATGCATAAGTCCATAATTCACGTCCTTGAGGTCAAAACCCAATTTCAATCATCAACTCTTAGAAAACATGGATTAGATATGGATTTCATCATAAATTCATGTAAAACTAGTAATACATGCTCAATTTCATAAAACTCTTCCTTGAAGATCAAAATCCATCAACATATGGTTCATAACTTGAAAACACAGGGATCACATGGGTTCATAGGGGAATTCATCATTAAAGCAACTCATCAATTCATGCATAGAAGATCATAATTAACTCATTTAAATCAATAATAAAGAGAACCCATGATAATTGATGAAAACCCTAACTTAATTGGGGAATTCTACCTTTTGAAATAGAGAGATTTAGGAACTCCATGGATGAAAGGAATCCATGGATGAAAACTACCATACCTTAACTCCAAATTCTAGCCTTCAATGGAGAAATTGAAACCTTAGCTCGAAACCCCATGTGAATCCTTCTTCTTCTTCTTCAAGTTTCTAAAGAGAGAATATTTGAGAGGAATTGGTTTTCTTTTGGGAATTTGGAAGAATGAAATAAATGGGGTGAATTTGGGGGTTAAAAGACTTATATAGGGGTTCTAAATGTAGGAAAAATGACATCGTATAGGAATTAATTAATTAGGAAAAGACCCAATTGTCCCTGAAAATAACTGCCAAACAGTGACCCACGACCCCACCACCGACGGACTGTGGATGGACCTACGGTCCGTCCTGCACAATCGTGGTCTGATCAGAGACTTTTGGCCAGTCGATAGCCACTAGGCCATAGGGCGTGGTCCCACCTACGGTCTGTAAGTGCCACCGTGATCCATGCCTAGACCATTTCTGAGGGGTCAATCCACGGACCCACCTACGATTCGTGGCCCACACCATGGGCCATGGTTGGCCCTTCGTGGATGACACCTGAAAGGTCTAAAAAGTTGTTATTTGGTCTTTTTGAATACGGGGTGCTACACTCAAATAAGGTAGTCTCTAGTAGCAACCTCTAGTCCCAAACTACGTGCCCCAGTATGATTGTTTTAAATGACCTAGCTAGTGAATCTACTTTAGCAAATGATGATATGTACAGATTCTACCTTGACAAGTAGTTTCCCTTTCTTTCGGTATGAGGAATATATCGGATTCCATGATGTAGCTCTCATGGTCTTATTGTCAGTTAAAGCTAATATCCCAAAAAATGACTGTATTTTCTTCAAAGTTTATCTTATGCCCTTTATGTTAATATACTTGACCATGCTTTCATGATTTTTATGTCATCACTTCTTTAAAGCTTTTAAATGTCCCATTATGATCATACCTACTCGTTTAAGTTACTTATGTTATCATGCATATTGTCTCATGCTTAGTACATTTCATGTACTAATGCATACTTGTGTCTGCATTATTTCACTAATGTAGGGTCCAACGCTAATATTCCCCATACTCGTGGCAAGTTGCTTCTTTTGGGCTTTTGAAGATTGGTGAGTCCTCATGATTCGAGGGCCAAGAGTATTTTATTGCTTTCATGTCATTTCTGTTTTCCAACTTTGTATGTGATGTATGAGTTAAATCTCAATCAATTTCCTTATGATGTAATAGATGACTTTGAGACTTATGCTTAGACTTCCGCTTTTGTCAAACTCTTTTGTATGAATTGCTACCTTTTAAACTCTTTTGTTTATATTATCTTGTATGATGTATCTTAAGTGGCTTTTTAATTATTAAATTTTAGCATTTAATTGTTTAAATGTTTTTAAAAAAATAACTCTCTCTCTCTCTCTCTCTATATATATATATACACACACTACATCAACCAAACATTCCACGCATACGTATAGATGAATGTCATATGGCATAAGAAGGATGTTTTTAAATTATTTATGCTTAACCCATCGGTGGCCTCTTAAAGTTGACATCAATTTTCAATTAGACACCTAAACTAAACTTTGTTTATTTTAGACACCTCATGTAAAGTCCTGATGTGTCATTTTGACACTTTTTGTTGATATAGCATAGTGAGTGTGACCCACTCATTAACCGCGCGTCAAACTCTTTTTTAGCCAATTTTTATTTTATATTTCCTTCTTCTTCCCCTTTTTTTAACCACCATTTTCTCAAGCTTGACCTTCTTCAATGGTGAAATATATTCGATGCTGCCACAAACGAGGAATCTAATTCCAAACGACAAAGTTTTCCCCAAGATTTCCCAAGGATGATGCCCTTCTTCCTCAATTTAAGTTGAGAAAAAAAAATTGAAATTTGAAGAAAACAAATGAAAAGTTGGGGATGAATAAAAAGTCACTAAAAAAATGAGATAATCTCATTAAAAGAAACTTAACAATGTGATATGAACACGTACACATTTGTATTTTTAAAAGTTCTTTGGATCTTAGATTTATTCTTTTTAGCAATAAAATCTGTAGAATTTTCTTTTAGCAATAAAATTTGTGGAGCTGCATTTATTTGAAAAAAATTGAGTTACACAAGTTCACCAAAGTTATACTATAGAAGGATTGAACAATATTTAAGTAAAAAAGATAGAGAAAATTCCGGGTATATGGTAGAAGATTAAGGGGTGTGTGCTACTGTGCTTATTTCTGCAACGTTGGAGAAGACGATGGGGTGGGGGTGGGGTGGGGTGGGAGATGCTTCTTTTAAAGATTTTTTAAGGTGATTAAATCTTTTTTTTTTGTTATTATTTGGAAAAAAGATGCCACGTGTCATCGATCCATTGGCCATCTCTTTTTTTATATATAATTGATAGTTTATTATTTAAGAATTATTTTGAACAAAATGACAAGTGTCCTCATTTAATTTGACACTTTAGACATCATTCACGAGTGGAACACACTCACGATCATATTTTTGCTGAATGTAAAAAAAAGTGTTAAAATGACATATCATGACCTTACACGAGATGTCTAAAATGAACAAAGTCTAGTTAAGATGTCTAAATGAAAATTAATGCCAACTTTAAGAGACCACTGATGGATTAAGCCAATTATTTAATTAATTAAATAAACATTTTTAAATCTATCAATAATTACGATGTTAAAATAATAATTCACGTTAAGTTTAAGTCGTTTTCTCCAAATTAAATGAGGCTAGCGAGATGGGCAATTTTATCATAATAACCCATAAACGAATGTTGGATATGAGTCGAAAACAACAGTTGACGTCGTCATTCATCGTCCACTATTTTTCTACCAAAACACGCAAGAATTGATTCCCAGGAAGGAAGAAGAATTGGGTATTCTTGATTCTTATAGAGATGCTAAATTTTAGTTTTGAATTTCACAATTGATTTGAGGAAAAAAAAATGTTTGGATGCAAATGCTTCCGTTGGAGCAAAATTTCAGATCTTTCTTCCCGAGAACCTGATACTTTTCTTCTCCCAGAACCCATTCCTCAATGGCCTCAAGGTATGCAAAATCATCTTTTGTTGCCAATGTTAAAAGGGTTACTTGGATAATTAGATTTAACATGTGGGGTTTTATCTGTTGCCACTTTTTTTTTATAGTAATTGTGCCTATCATTGCTCTTGCATTGAAAAGAATGTCTTTTTATTCATAACTGCTCAGCAGGGGCGGAGCTAACAAGGGTTCCATGGAAAGTTATATTGTTTATACCCTACATGTGTTTACTTTTTCATATTTCGAAAGTCTAAGTGAAAATCCTGGCTCCGACACTACCTCAGGGTGTCTCACTTTCTCACTTTCTGCTCAGCAGGGGTGGAGCTAATAAGGGTCAAGGGGTTCATCCAAACCCCCTTTGATGGAAAAATAGACGGTTTATATATGGTTAAGATTATTTTTCTTGGACTTCTTTGTGTGTTTACTTTTTCATATATTGGAACCGTGAAAATTCGGGCTCTGCCACTACTGCTTAGGGTGTCTCCTTTTTTTTGCTCAATGTCTGATTGACATTGAAATGCTTCTATGTTTCCAGCAAAACTGGAAATTACACACTTATAGTGTCATGTCTGCAATATTTTTCATCCAAATATCGTGACTATGTTAGGGTCCTTTGTCTTTTTATTTTTAATTGTTTAAATGCCTTCTTAAAAGAAGAGAGAAGAGTGTATGCTATTGCTTGTGCCTTGTAGGGAAATATGAATGAGTTGGTATCCACGGCTGATTCTTTTAGCACTGTAAAGAAAAGATTTTCTAATCTTTGTTGTGGTTTCCAAGCATGTTATTGAGTGTGAATCATTCTTAACTGGTAGTTTCTCTTTTGCATTAAATTTTATGCTTTTAATTCTATTTGCCCCTTCGTACAAGGGCTCTACAAGTTTCAATACATAGAGTTGTCATTGAAGTACACTAGTCTGCGAAGATGCTACTGTAGCTTTTTTGATTGATAGGCACAGGGATAATGAGCAGTAAAATGGAAACTTCCTGATGTTATTTTGTTCTACAAGAAATTGAAATTACCACAAATTTCTGAATTGTGAATACCTTCTGAAAGTTCCACATACTTTCTTTGATCCGTAAAATCTTATGTAATACTGGTTTCAAGATTTATCTTGGTTTTCCTTCATGATTAACTTCCATATATTAAAGCAGGAAGTTGTTTCCTGACAATTTCTTGTTCAACTGATTAAGTTTCACTTCAATTTTCCTCTCTTCCTGTCCTCTATGTTGTACTTTCATTCTTATCTGACAAGAGGTGTTTTGCCACTCGAAGAAGACTTGAAATAACTTTGCAGACTGATTTGGCAATTTGCTGGATCCGTTATCACGAAACTTGGAAATCACAATTTTCAACTTGAATCCACTAAATGAAATTCTTACGAGTTGGGATAAGTTTGTAGTGGATAGTTTATGATTCTTTGTTGTTATTTGAGACCAAAGCTAATTATCTCATGTTCTAAATGAGTTACTTGTTCAGCTTCTAAGTTTTCATTGTGATCAAATGACTCTTGTGGGTTAAATGTAAGAGTTTGTCATTCAATTTCCTTCTTTTTCTTGGAGAAGATTGTCTAGGTTCTTGGACATGCATTAGTTTTTTCAGTCGTTTGATATGATGTGTCTGTTTATGGGTTGTCGAATCAGAACTGTATCGCAATAGACTGTTAGTCGTTAGAATCATGTTAGCGGATTGCATACAAACCTATATTAATTCCTTTATTGAAAATTAATTAAGAGAAGAACACCTCTAATTTCAAATTTTTTCCTGCTCTCTGCCACTGTCTCAGGATGTTCTGGTACAGGATTCGCTAGTGGTACAATTAAACTAGGGGAACTGGAGGTTCATAAAATCAGCAAGTTTGACTTTGTCTGGGGTTGTAATTTGTCACAAGATCGGAAACAGGGTGTTAGCTTTTATAAGCCAAGGGGGGTGCCTGATGGATTTTTCAGCCTTGGCCACTACTGCCAATCTAACAAGAAGCCTCTACGAGGGTTTGTGCTTGTTGCTCGGGAAGTGGCTAAACCTGAGGCAGAAGATCATTGCAGTGGAAATCCTTGTTTGCCTGCGCTCCAGAATCCCCTTGATTACACGTTAGTCTGGAGTTCTAATGATGGAACTGAAGAAAATTTCGATGGATCCGGTTATTTCTGGTTACCTCAACCACCTGAAGGTTATAAATCCCTGGGGTTCATTGTGACTACTAAGCCTGTTAAACCTGAGTTAGGGGAAGTCAAATGTGTTCGAGGTGACCTCACTGATGAATGTGAAACTTACCGCTTGATACTTAAAACCAGCTCTGTGCTTTCAGAAGTGCTGGCAATTTGGAGCATAAGACCGCGGCATAGAGGAATGCATGGTAAAGGTATTTCAGTTGGTACCTTTTTCTGCAGTAGCTATTGGAGCACAGGGCAAGAGTTAAACATCGCATGCCTAAAGAACTTCGATACGAGTCTACAAGCAATGCCAAACCTTGATCAGATTCATGCAATCATTAGGCACTATGGTCCTACTTTGTTTTTTCATCCCAGCGAGACCTATCTTCCATCTTCTGTACAATGGTTCCTTGACAATGGCGCAATGCTCTATACAAGAGGCGATTCAGTTGCTAAGCCCATTGAGCCTGAAGGTTCCAATTTACCTGGTGGTGGGACAAACGATGGCCAATGTTGGATTGATTTGCCTAGCGATGCCCGCAGGGATATTGTCATATTTGGAAATTTAGAGAGTGCAAAACTTTATGTTCATGTTAAGCCAGCCTTAGGTGGTACTTTCACAGATCTTGCAATGTGGATTTTTTGCCCCTTCAATGGGCCAGCTACTCTAAAGGTAGGAGTAGTGAATGTTCCTCTAAGCAAAGTCGGTCAGCATGTAGGTGATTGGGAGCATTTCACTCTCCGAGTGAGCAATTGCACAGGAGAGTTGTGGAGTATCTATTTTTCTCAACACAGTGGTGGTGAATGGGTGGATGCTTATGATTTGGAGTTCATTGCAGGAAATAAAGCTATTGTTTATTCATCAAAGGGTGGCCATGCTAGCTTTCCTCATCCTGGAACTTACATTCAAGGGTCCTCAAAGCTAGGGATTGGAATTAGAAATGATGTTGCACGTAGTAATCTCTATGTAGATTCAAGTACCCAGTATGAAATTATTGCAGCACAGTATCTCGGACATGAAGCTGTTAGTGAGCCATGTTGGTTACAATATATGAGAGAGTGGGGTCCAACCATTATTTATGACTCAAGAAAGGAGCTTGAGAAAATTGTTAATCGCTTGCCAATAATGGTTCGAAATTCAGTACACAGTATTTTTGATAAGCTGCCAATGGAACTGTTTAAGGAGGAAGGCCCTACTGGGCCAAAGGAGAAGAACAACTGGTTTGGAGACGAAAGATGGTAGCACATTTCTTTGTCTATGGGTATCTTACTCTTGCCAGTAGATCAGAATTGGCACCATTATGTACAGATTCATATTACTCTACGACTGGGCTTTGTAGTTGCTTTAGTTTAGCAATTTGTGAGGACGGACTATATTAAGGATCCTACAAGTCCATAGTCTATAGCAGGAGTTATGTTGATTATTTGGTTATCTACAGAAGGGAAGCAGAACACACTACTCATAAACCAAAAGGGCATCAAGAACGCGGTAATCCTTCACCTTAAAGCAAATTGATTCTTGTTATCACCATTTCATTCTGCACCTATCACAATGTGCTGCTTCTCTTTCATTGTGGCATCAGATTGTCCTTTGTGAGCTTTGACATTCCTCAATCCAAATCCTAACTTCATTGCAAGTTAAAGAATGTGATGCATTCCCTCCATCTTTTCTTCTCCATGCGGGCATTCTTTACTGTATGAGCAAGCGATGCCAGTTTAATGTTTGGCATTGACAGTCTCCCGTGCATCCCTCTAGTCTAAACAGGTAAGAAACTTGGAGAATGATCATTTGGTTCGCAAACAAAGTCATGCAGGGATAACAGTATGTTACAGGGATTATTTAGTGTATATGTGGGATTATTTAGTGTATATGTTTTTTAGTGAATGTTTAAGTTCATTGCACTTGTATATACTGTGTATATATATTAATAGAAGTCCACAATTTTAACCTTGTTTTTGAAGTAAATAGAAGATACGAAGATGAGATTGAGGTTGTTTTGATCTTTAAGTTGTGTTTTAGTTAGTTGATTTAACTACCTAAAAGGTTAAAAGTAAAGAATGAAATAAATTATTTGGTCCCCTCTGTAACAAGAAAATTGTTTGGTAATTTGATGTTTTTAGTTGGACCAGTTCTGTTATGAACCATTCATTCAGCATCAGCTATGCCTATTGTCTACTGTTGAGAAGGAAGCTATAGCTCAACTAGACCTTCATTTGATTATATTGTGTACTTCCATTTCACATGATGCGATATGTACAGTGTTTGATCGAACACGAAATTTTAGGATTATTTTTTTTTCAAAAAACTAATGAGTGTAACTAGTTATCTGCAATAGTCAACTAGAAAAAAGGTACCTCTTACACATTTTACTGTCATGAAAGTGAGAGGTACCCTCACATTTAAGTACTCTATATTAATATTATTATTATTATTATTATTAATAGTTATAATAATAATTAAAAACAATAGCAACAAGAACGATTGACCATTAAATTTGAATCAACTATATAAACTCACACTATTCATGGAGCTCTATTACACTCATCTCAATCTAATACAAGAAAAAACACTATATTATATCATATTCATCTATTTAAACGACCCATTTGGATGAGTTTTGAATTAATAAAAAAATTATCTATATAAAAGAACAACGGAAAAGAATAAAAAAAAATATCCTTAAATTATATGAAATTTTAACAAAAATGTCATTTGTTATTCTGTTGTTAATACTTTTGTCAAAAAATGCACTTATTATTACTTTTGGATCAAAAATGTCATTTTCCTAATAAACATATTATCTTTTTTTCTTCTTAAACACATTATTTTTTTAATAAAATATTACTTTTAAAGAATTTTGTTTTACTTTTTTTCCTTTTAAATCACTTAAATTAATGTAAAAATGAAAAGTAATTTGGTATCTTCTTAATCTCCTTTTATCAATTATTATAGAGTTACCTGATTTTTTATTTTTTTTGAATTGATAACATAGTCATACATATAAGATCCATAGTAATTGCATCACTAATTTTTATTTAGATAATGATTATTTTTTTAAAAAAAAAATTCAAATTGAAGTAAGATAAACATTTGCTAATATAGTCCTTGATTTTAAAATTAATATATATTAATAAAAATGTGTGTGGGGGCGTGGGGGGTGGTGGGGATGAACAATAACTTCATCCATGATGCTTTAAAGATATTTTATGATTAAAAGTAATGTAAGAAATTTTCATGTTTTATGACATTATGATTTATGACTATGGAGTATATCTTAACTTTAAAATTAATGATTATATTAGCCAATGTTTATTCTTCTTTTATAAGGAAAATAAGTTTTACGTTATCCAAATAAAAAATAGTATTGAGTTACTATGATCTTATATAAATGAAAATTAATAATGATTTTCAATATTTTTTATTTAAAAAATGTGTTCAAAACAAAGGAAATACTATTTTTATCAAGAAAATGACATTTTGATTCAAAAGTAACAATAGAGACATTTTTAAACCATACTATTAACATCAAAGACATTTTTAGCCTAAAATATTAGCAAAAAATATTTTTATATACATATTCAAAAAAAAAACAGCATTACACTAATTCATTTCTTGACTTTTCTCAACAGTCAACACCCGTACATGTTTGGGGGCCTAAAACTCTTATGAGTACATTTCTCATACGACACTACCTACAGGTTTGGTGCCTTTAGGCATACTTTTTTTTTTCATTAATAGATATAAAATAATTTATAATAAATTTTAAAGTCATAAAAGTAATTATGATTATAAATAAAATACGATGAATTTTTTTTTTAGAAAAAAACAATGAATACTTATGACTTATGAGTATAACTCTAGTTATTTCTTGATTCTTCTTTCTAAATATTTTTGATGCGATATTATTGTCTAATTGATGCTAGAAATGTTGTGTAACATCAAGCAATAACTTTGAGAAAAATAATATTTAATACATTGATTTTTTTAAAAATATCTGAAAAATTTATGAAATATTCAAATGCTTTTTTAAGTTAATATAATATTTTTTATATTGACGTAAGCTAGATGAATATAATACTTTTTATATTGACGTAAGCTAGATTTTAGGATGAATACTTAGGTCCGTTTAGTCATACGATATGAAATCATGAGATGACGTTGAAGTGTTGTTTGGACATGCAATTTGAATTTTTTATGTTATATATTTTCTCATAAACATAAAACTCCCATAAATTGTAAAACAATTAAACTATACCAATTTTCTATACAATCTTACCAAATAAACAAAAGCTTATAAAATCGCATAATACACTATCATAAAGCGAGATACAACATTGATCAAACTTTAATTCGATAAAAAAATCAAAATTGAACATTAGTTGGTAAATAAATTTAATAAAAATAATGAATTTGGTGAAAACGGAAAAGTAGGAATTGTTGAAGTAATATCATATTTTATGTTGGTGAGAATAATTGTTATATGAAATATAAATGGTTTAAAAAATAATGACATTAATATTATAAATTTATTTCCATATAAAATAAATAGTTAATAAATATAAATGTGAGAGCTTTTTTTTCACAAAACATAAACTTGTGCATTAATTTTGTATTTAAAAATTTTCAAATCATGTTTTTGGAGAATTTAAAATTTCATATCGTAAAATGAAATCAGCTTGAAATTATTTGTCCAAAGGTTAATTTCATATCACGATATAAAATTATATATCCAAATACCTACTTAAATTCAATCCCACAAAATTTCGATGTCTCCGTTTTTATGTTTGCTTAGCATAGGTTAGTGGCGTTCCACGCAGGGCTATGGTGTTGTATTATAGGTTGGGGAGTGGGCTATGTCATTAGGTGGTCACACCTTTGTCGGGTTGTTCTTTGCAACTCTACCCACTTTTCTTTGTCCCTACGCTCATTAATTCTTCAAACTCATTCACAATCAACATTTCTTTAATCAAGGTTTTTAGTCTTTTTAATATAGAATTATCTTTATTAAGAAGCGTTTATCACAACATGAAACTTTTTAGATTGAATTTAGATTAAGTCAATATTCAATATAAATATTGAATATCAGAAAAAAAATACATCTCCAATAAGCCTAATCAGTTTTACCTTCTTTTCCCGGTGCCTTTGCTTCGAGTTTTTTCATCATTATCCAAGCTAAGATTAAACTCAATATTTCTTATTTTTTTTCAATTTTTGGCTAAAAATGCCGACCAAAATTAGCCGATTTTATTTTGAAAAATTAGGATCAAACTAACTATCATGAGATATTTTTCAATTAATTTTGCCCTTGATTTTAGTCGTGAGTGTCAATTAACGGACAAATCTCGATATTTACTAAAGCAACGCGCCTAAAATCAAAATTTCTTCGTTCCTCAATTTGACATCGGTTTAGGCCAATAAACTGATGACGCATCATAATATCCGACATCTTCTACTTCCTTTTTAACCCTTGATTTTATTTTAGTCATGATATCAAATATCAATTTATCCAACTTGAAAGAGGAAAATTTAGAATTAACCTGTTATGTATACAACGGTTATATATGTATGCTATATTTAACCCCAACACATTACCATCCTTCTTATATTTAAGGCCAAATTCATCGGTGGTCCTCTAAAGATTGTACTAATTTTCACTTAGACACGTTAACTAAGCTTTGTTCATTTCAGACACCTCATATTGAGTCCCGCTGTGTCATTTTGGCACTTTCTACTGACTTGACACATTGGGTGTGTTGCACCCATTTTGAGTACGTGAGGAGTGTTTTTTATTATTATTTTATTTTTGTCCTTCTTCTTCTTCACTTTTTATCCCTACCACTTATTCCACCTTCCACCATGAAAAATCATGATGAAAAAACTTACAAAATATGAAAAAATAAAATAAAAAAATTATCACACCAACTTTAAAAACATTTACAAGAATAAAATTTTAACAAATCATCACACTAATTTTGAAAACATTTATTAGAACAAAACACACATTTTTTTTCAAAAAAAAAATAGAAGAAGAATGCCATACTTGTCAGAACCTCACCTCACTATCAATAAAATGGTTCTCAAAATCAAATTTACAACGAAAAAGAAAAAAAAATGGAAGAATAACCAAAAAAATGATGGGAGGGTTGGAGAGACAAAAATGATAAGGTGGGGGTGGGAGTGATAGAAAATAAGTTATTTATTTGTTTTATTGAAAATTAGTTATTTTTTTTATAATAATTTATTTTAAAATTATTATATTATACAATCAAATGACACATGTCATCATGTCATGTCATCCGCAAGTGTATTACACACACTTTGTAATTTTAGTTGATTGTCAGAAAATGGTCAAAATGACATAGCGAAGCCCTAAACAAAGCTTACT